CACAGTAGTGCTCACAGTTATATGCACTAACACTGCTTTGTATGAAACAATGTATGTATATAAAGAATCAAGTATCTCAACTGTATATTACATATGGAACTAGAGAATAGGACATAAGTTACTAAAAAATAAAAATAGACCAAAATGAATAAAAATGACTGAATTAATTAAAGGTTTGCTTTATCTTTACTTTATCTAAATGTGTAATGCCAGCCAGATAGTGAAGCAAATTTAGGATTAATGAAGCAACTGACATGATATGATGAAATAAGCTGATATTTCACAATGATTCTACTTGAGGTCAATTTTCTGCATAAAGCAATGATTTAATTTGTTACAAATTTTTACCATTATTGATACTACTTACTTGTTGCCTTTGTATAATCAGTATTACTTCTATATGAAATATTTGTTTTATTTACACGACATAGGAAGCAGCGCTGGTGGGGATAAAAAGGTGTTTTAACTGAAACACTGACCATTACAGATGTTTAAAAAAAAAAAAAAAAAAAAAAATTGTATTCATTAAATCAAGTCTTAAAATTTAAGACCCAATTTATCCATTGGATTAAACTTTCATCAACACATTTTATCATTTAACCTACTAATCCTCTATAAGCACAGATCTAAATTTCTGGGTTATAATGTACAGTAATAAAATCCCGCCAAATTCACTAAGATGTGTGTGTCATTTTAGTGTCGGTTATTTGCCCCTTTTGCCTTCAGATGATTCACCGACTGTACACACTTGACCATACTTGATCATAAAGGACATGGCAGCTTGTGTCTCAGTGTAATCATTACATCACACTCAAGTCGCTCTAACAGAAGCCCTAGTTTCCCAAGCAATCAGCCGAAGGAAATTGTACAGTAATACATCAGTTCCTATGACTTCCGAGTCACATCCTTTCCAGGACTACATGAATCATAAATTCTCGTCAGAAAATCCACAGCAAGGAGTTCACCATGAAGAGCAGCCATTAATAAAGTTAATATTTCAGGTTTGATTTGAGAAGGATGTCCTGCCACGCCATTTGATTTTTTCAATCTCTCTGATCCTCTATTTCTACACATCCCACGATGCTTTCCTTCACTTAATTACCACCTATGCTATCCTTCACACTAAATGGATTCAAAAACTTGTTACCCTTTCCTGAAAACCGAGTAGCTGCCACACTGCCCTCTTAATACTCATGGTTCAAGGGGTTTCACTGTTTGCTAGGTGGTGTCTTGCATTAAAAAGCCTTGGTTCTCATTGCACCGATGTAATAAAACCCAAGCATTTAACATGCACATTTATGGTCCTCAATAACCCAGAAGTCTTAATAAAAATGAAAGCTGACATTGGCATGAGGGATCCTCCACACTAGCTGTCTTTAATGTCCAAGACGTTCCATTAAAAGGGGAGCACTTCCTCAGAAGCAGAGCTTTTATCCTGATTGCTTACAGGAAGAGAGGAAAAAAAAAAAAAGAAACCAAATGACCTTCAGCGCCTCTACAGCTAGCCCTTCCCTCATGTGAGCTTCGTGGATAGACGCCCCTGCGTGCACATACGTGAAAAGCTGGGAAACGCACACCGATGCAGATGCACATGTGTGTGGATACACAGTGTGTTTGGACTCTCTTATGTACACGCATTAAGAGGGATATATGTACGAATGCACATCTGAGTCATTGGCTACTTTGTATTCAGTTCACGTGCAGAGAGAAGCCATCTCACTTTTTAAATCATAATGATTATTAGGAGATAGGGAAAAAGCCAAATCTGCATGTTCAATTATAGCCTGTGCGATGCCAGATAGATAATACATGGGACTGGCTAATGTCCTTGCTTCTGAACTTCTTCAGCCGTTTTCCGTTTGAAGCTGGAGAAAAAGACGATGGGGACAGAGATTTCCCTCTGTGGGAACACAACTATTGAGCTACATTTAATAAGCTGGTCAAAAACACTCTCCTGCCGAGAGAGACTGTGCTTTTAATGACCATTCTGCTTCCAAAGTCTCAGATGTGCAGCTAGATTGCTTGCCACATAGCAGACAAGGCAGCCATCTTATTAATAGCCACGCACCACACATGCTGCAGACTTGGGACCAGAAACCCAGAGAGGCAAGAAAGGGAGAGAGACACACACTGGCACATGGAGAGAAAGCATGTGTCTTTTTCATGCTTTTACTATACGTGAAAGCAGGGAGACAGATGGATGCAGTGAGGAGGAGATTAGATGGAGGAGGCAGGGCAAGGATCGGGGTCTAAAAAATCCAGCCCTCACGAGAGGACGTCCAGGCCAGCCTCCACGCAGGGCAGAAGGGGGAGGCTATGTGATGGATGTACCCTGTGACTGGAGCCCTCGGCACGCCCACATGGAGACGCCACCAAGGCCAGGCCAGAGGAGCAAGCAATCAAAGAGAGAGGCCGGAGGGCTAGGATGATATAGGAGGATCCAGCTTATTAAATAGGCTTCAGGAGGAGCATGGAGCATCTGAAGTAAGTTGTCACTCTGCCACCAACAGGCATAAAAGGAGTCTCTGTTAGATGGAGAGTCTATGCACTGTAGGCAGTGATGACAGACTGTGTACAGTAAGAGTGGGAATACTGTCATTAAATACACCGACACACCAGGGAGCTCCAGAACAGTGTGTCACCGCTGATTTACTTTCTCTTTTTTTTACCTGGGCCTCGCTTTCCTGCGTCTGAGCAGCAGGTGAAGGGAAATGTTTGTGTGCGAGAGTGTGTGTGCACGTGTGCATGCAGAAATGTGATTTTATATCCCATGTTATAATATCCCACCTTATTCTACTCCAGAACTCACACATTCAATGTGACACCGCTGCCTCTATTTCTAGGGAGAGTGTATGAATTTTCATTTGTAAGCGAGTCGTAATAAAAAGTCAAATCAGGATAGGAGGGAGGAGCCATCACGGATTGTTTACAATTCTGTTTCCTGACTTAATTTCCATTCGGAATGCAAAGTAGGAAACTCAATATAAGGCACTTTTCCTCTGATGCAACAGTCTGCTAACATGGATAGAAAATCATTACACAAATCCATTACCAGAGGCGACCTGAAACCAGGTGTGCTCATGCCACAGTGTATAATTCATTTGATTATAGATTTTTACTTCAATTTTACCGCTTTGTGAATCGAGACACTTTGATTCCTTTCTTGTTTACTGCGTTGTCTTGGCAACAAGAGCATCCTACCAGTTTTCACTTCAACGGTTACGACTATAGGAGAGGAGGAGCAGATTACAGCGGAGGTTGTGAAAGCAGGTGCAAAAAGACATTTCTTCACTTGGATTTCCTGTCACATCCCGCAGCCCACTCCAGTCCTAAACTTTATATAATTACAACAATCTGTGCACCGAGAGAGACTGTGTGAAATCTGATTGCCATTGGTAACATTCACAGCAAGAATCTTGGCGTGATAGAAGGCTTCCTGTTTCAATTTCCTAGGATCCCTCAAGTTTTACTGGCTCTTTTTTTTATCCCATCAGTGGGGCATACATTTCCATTCAGGGGAAAAAACAGACCCGGTAATATCCAATTTACTGGAAGGCAGAGGAGATGGTTTCACTGGCAGTATAATAACATGCTACATGGAGCGTAGCATTATGGAGTATGAATAAAAAAGGCATTTATAGTAAAAATTCAATCGAAAAGCAGTCATCATTCATCGGAGGAAATCAAGGCAATTAGTAACACTTTAATGCAAATTGGAGAACGCAAAACAAATCACAAATCCCTGGCACTGTAATGGGGCCCAGAGAAGAGCAGCTCAAATGACCTCTTTCGAATGTTGGTCTGTGAATCAAAAATCCAGGAACAAAGATTTTATTCTGCCTGGTGACAAGAAGAAGAATTGTGTGTTAGTGTTTGCAGTGTTTGCGGCTGTGCCACTTAATAGTTCCTTGACCACAATATTGCCTAAAACCAATCTCCCCTCTAGCGCAACAGTGATTTCTTTAATGCAGTTCACTTCCTTGTAATGTGCAGTAAAAAGCCCCGTGTTAAGATTCCAGCCATGTGTGTCCAAAGCACGACAGTTTGTGGCTTGTTAACACGCTCAACAAGCAGCCTATGTGAGTGTGGCTGAATGTAAAGATTTCTCATTTGGAATATTACCACAACATAAACAATGTGGAAAAACATAAACATGGCTGTACAGCGGCACCTCCGTATCCTCACAGCCTGTTGTGTGCGCAACGCTGCAATCAGTTACACGCAAGAAAACAGCCAGGTTTTTTTAAACGGATGGACGAATACGTGAACGACTGCAATAATTCCAGGTTAAGGATTATGCGGTGTCCATTTGGCTCCGCAGGGTGCAGTTGGAGGCTGACATTCACGGCTGGAGCTCAAAGCAACACTTCATTCACATGAGCCAAAGCACTTCCGGCAAGAACCTACGTATAAGCGGTCGGGATCCATCTTAATTCAATGATGCATTAGAGGAGCATGAGTATGAGGGATGTTTATCGCATGTCCAAGTGAAGCGCATTTAGTATGGAAGACATGGCAAACGTGGGTAGTAAATCATCATGAAGTAGAATTAAGGAAGCCAGCAGATAAACAACATTGCTTACAAAGGGAAGAGTGTGTGTGCACTGTCATTTAGCATGACTTTGGCTGCCACTAAAAAGCTCCCTCTGGTACACCCTGTCCTCTTTTATCTTGCTTACAAAGACACATTATACCTGCATGTCTATTTCTGACATACATGATACTAGCAAACCAGCAGAGTACGTCAAGACCCACATGTGGGCTGAAACGTGCCGTGGAGTTTCAATTTCCCCATGGGATTGAACGTCACAGTGATTTAAATGCAAACACCTGCCTCTTAAAACATTTGCTATGCTGCACAGTACAGTAGAATACATTACCCAATAACTTGTGACCTGCACCGCCAGTTTCTAATATCAAGCAGCCTACACACCAGCAGGCATGAGCTCCACAGCTGTATTACCCATCCCCCGCCCCCGCTCTTCCCTGCTGTGCTCTACCTTCAGAGTGGTGGGAGAGGGTGAGCAGGCTGACGCAGGAAGCGCCGATCCCAGAACCGAACACAGTGATGCGGTTGGAGTCTCCGCCGAAGAAGCCGATGTTCTCGCTGATCCACCTTAAAGCCTGGATCTGGTCCAGGAGCCCGTAGTTCCCTTTAGCAGCCTGGTCACCAGTACTGAGGAAGCCTGCAACACAAATAAAGATAAACAGATTACAAACTCACACAGAGAAAGCCAATCAAACAAATAACATCGTTCTATGAGCTTCCAACTACAATAGACAAGCAGGTAGTCTGCAACTTGCACATGCAGTAGCTATGTATACAGCTAGTTATTTTCCATGTGCACCTGCAACACTAAAGGTTACCCGCAATGGCTTGACCCCACCCCGATTTTGTCCGAAGAACCGCCACGTCAGGTGACAGCAGCAGTGAAATCATGACTTATTAGACGACACGGCTGTTGGTAAAATAGGAGCGTGCGTGACCACATGTCATTTGCACCTTATGGGAAATCAATGGCATGTCTCCACGGGTGCGCATCTATCATCAGATATATTGAGCAGCCCTGATGAAAATACGAATCTATGAAAACTATGCGGACAGAGAGAGAGAGAGAGAGAGAGAGAGAGAGAGAGAGAGAGAGAGAGAGAGAGAAAGACTTGATAACAAGATTTACAATCATGTTTCATGCTGCAAACACCTCCATATGGACTGCGACCTCATTACATTTCCTATCAGAGTTACCATCTTCCTCTGACAGTGTCTGGACTCTCTCTCTCTCTCTCTCTCTCTCTCTCTCTCTCACACACACTCTGTAGAGCCACATACTTTCAGTCTAAACATTCACAACAGGCACTATCTGGGCACATTTTCCTCCGTGTCTGTGTAATCTGCTATATGATGCCTGAGTTGGACAGTGAGCCTCTCTTGGGTACATCAGAGCTCATGTTAACACACCACCCTCTCCCAGCTGCTCTCCAGGGCCTAAGCCCAGCTGAATGATGGGTAATCGAGAGTCGCGGGAGAAGATCAAAGGCAAGCAATCCCTGAAGTCCCCACGGTGGATTCAGTGTCCATCAAACCCCTGAACATGCATACGAGGTGACAGCTAGGAGACATGCGTGGAAACCAAGACCCCTCTCTCTCTAGTGGCGATATCGGCAAACACTTCACAAGCAATAAATGTGTTGGTGGTGAGTGTTCGCAAGCCTCCAGTGATGGTCCTTCAGCATTGTTTCTAACATCTATTTCATGGTCTATGCCTCCATATAATGATGAGCTCTCTGTGTTTAAGTCCTAAGGGGGTAAAGGGAATAGTTTTGATATCAGCAATGCAAAAAAAAAAAGAAAGACAGAAAAAAGATGAAATCCATGTGTTTTTGGACTCAGGTCAGAACAGTGATGCTCGCTTTAGATAAACACAGATTAGAAAGCAGCTGCTCCAGGCTCATTAGCTGTTTATGTGTATGTATGTACGAAGAGGATGCATGCCTGCCTGTTTCTTTTTCTCTCTTTGTGTGATTCAGAGACTATAGAGGGCACAACCTCCTGCCCCACCCCCAACAAGCACACCCGCCTCGCCCCAAGTGCCTGTTGGCAGCAACAAAGAGGGTGGGCAGGGGAAAGGCCAGGCCTGATCATCGATAGGAGAGAGGCAGTGGCACAGGAAGCAAAGCAGGAGACAAATGGATCAACAGATGGTCTCCTTCAGACGCATCCCTGAGGATGACAGAGCAGCAGGGCACATGCAGAGAGAGAGAGAGAGAGAGAGAGTGAAAGAGACGGGCAGAGGAACAGAGACAGACACAGGCAGAGAGGAAAAAGGAGCACTCCAATTGAAGAGCTTTTTCTTTTTCTCTTGCGGCTGCTCCTCGCGTTCCGTCATAACTAAAGGACAACAGCTTTTACAACCCTCGCCCCGGTGCTGTGGGGAGAGAGGAGACGTGACTCTCCCAGAATAACCCTCATTTGTGAAATGGTTCACACTTCACCAAGTGTATGTCAGATGGGTTAAGAAATGTCAGGAGACTGGCATGTAAAAGGGGTTCTGTGCAACTGTTAGTCTAATTGAAAAGATATAGTAAACATTATCCATTTGGCACTGTAATATGAGGCATTACTTAATGACAAAATGTAAATCATTAGAGTTGGTTCCCCAGCTGGCAGAATAAAACACTGCTCGGTGCTCTAGTCTGTTGTGACTTTTTGTTTAGCTGCGTTGATTCCTCTGCATCTATAAATGAAACTGGTCATTAAAATGTAGACGTGGAATCCAATCTCTCAGACAAGACATGCTGCAGGCACCATTTAAAAATACATCTAATATAGCTGCTGGTTATGTTTTAATTGGAAAGGTGACAGAAAGTATTTTCTTTGGAAAGCAATTAAGATAGCCAAATAATTGTTTTTATGTATGGTTATTTCTATATTCATATTTATGGCGATCTGTCCGTCTTTATGTATATGCTCTAAAGGTGTTTTTTGTTTGGATATTTCTTTATGTCTATCACCTATGCATCACCTCCGGACTTTCTTCCTTCCGGAATATTCTATTAACTTCACACACACTCTGATTACTTGACACATAATGCACCATATAGTTTGGCTTTGTCTCAGATTTGAGATATCTAAATTTCTCCTTTCAAACCAAGGATTGGGTTATAGATTTCCAGATCAAGCAGATGATCCCTGTCTGATCAGCACTGCGTGGGCTTTGGCTGCACATGAACTGTGATGTGGAGCGTTCACAGCTCACACCTACACAGGACCTTGGGATTCTGGGCTGCAGCTCTGTGCCTCTGAACTACTTGGTCAGACTGGTTATGTGCTTGACTGCACAACTCCACCTGACATTCAACAGATTCTCAGTACATAGCAGGTGCTGCTTTACAATACACATTTAATTCTAAACGGTAATCACATAATATCCATCTTTGTTAGCTGCCTGAATTCAAATCAATATGCAAATTCTCTTTTAAATGATCTGACCAATTAACTTTGGCACAAACAGTATACACAATTACCGAGTCCCAATCAAGTTAATTCAACAAACATATAATCATTAAGTAGTAAATAGTTCAAGTTGATCTGGTACTTTGAAAGTAAAGTGCATACAAATTAATTTGATTGTCATTTAATTTTCTCTGACATTATTAATCTTTCCTGCTGTGAGTTCTGTTACAAACTGTAGATTAAATGTGGGATATTTTTCAATTCAGTCTCAATAACCAAGGCAAATCTTTATATCTACAGCTTTAATACAAATGTCACATATGGTTTGCCTGATGCTTTTTTCTCTTAAAAAAAATAAAAATAACAAGACTCTGTTTTGTATGACAAGCGCAAGCGGTTCAGTGGAAAATATTTTGTTTAGACGAAGGACGCAGACTATCAACAGAAAGAAAAAATGCCCTGAAGTTGTACTACACTGGAGAAAAGGAATCATATAGCTGATTTTTATGTAAGCTTCTTAAACCACATATGCCAAAATTAAAAATGTATTTAATACGATCTGTTTAGAAAACTATATATAAGCACCATTTGTAAAAGGTCATGTCAACAAATAAAATCTCAGACGGTTGAAACAAAGATTTCCATGTATGGAATCTAACCTGTCTTCACATGTCAGCTGGATTAGACGTGGAATTAGCATGAGTGTTCCTTATTCACTGCAAACAGACTGTATGAGTTAATAACAGTGATTCTGTGCTCTTTCTCTGCATGTTAGAACTGTAATTTGCCCTGACTGATTACATGATGTGTTTTTGTATCGTGTCTCAAAGCTGTTCTTCCTTGACAGTGATGTGGTGCACTTCTGCTGTATGAAGAGCTGGTATTTTCTCCTTGTGGCAGCACAGAGTCAGAGATTCAGTCGTGATCTCAGTCGGAGTGGCAGCGGGGACCGCGGTCTGGGTGCAGCTGGGTCAGGTCGCACCTGTCACCTTGCATCGTCCTTGCCGGACGTAACATTGTGTGTGTGTGCAGTGCAGCTCCCCCTACGAGGAACTTAGCCGCCCTTGTCGCTTTAACATGATCAGAGGGTCAGTTAATGTATACAGCATGACAGAGTCCCCTCTCTGCAGTGTTTGAGCTTCAGCCGCTGTGCCGGAAGCAGTATGCGAGCGGCAGACAGTGATGTTCAGAGACCAGGAGATCACCACTGAAATCTAGCACCTCTCCATTTCCACACATTTTCACACACCAGCCGCAATCATTGCAGCACCTGAACATCAGGTATCAGGCGAAAGAGAGTTTATTTTTCCAAAAAAAAAAAAAAGCCATCGCTGAGCGTGATGCCACATAATGCATTTTGTGGCTTGATCATATTTTGTCAATAAGCACATGCCACTATCTCAGTCTAAACTGAGCATCTCTGCTTCCTCCTGAGCGCCAACAGTGATTTCCTTTAGCCCTGCCTCTCACCATTGATATTTCTCTATTGATTATGATTTAAATGTCTGTTTCCTATAAGGTGGGCTATAACTCACAGAGTAGCGGAAGGAGGTGATGATAATGATCGCTCCAACCCCAGACATCTCTCTTAGCCTGGTCTCCCAGATAATGGAATGTGTGTAAAGTAATGGCGGAGAATGAGAAGGGGGCGAGGAAGGGTAAGGGGGAGGGCAAAAGCTTGTTATTGAGCTGGAGAGTGAGCTTACACATGGACAGATGGAGGGAACGGATAGGGAGGTGTAGAGGAACAGAGGAGGAGGAGGAGGAGGAGGAGACGGAGGATGGGAATAACAGCGGTGACGTAATAGAGGGAAAGTTTTTCGTTTTTCTATTGGATTCATTCTCGCTTTTTGCTTCGCCTTTTCCCTGTTTCTTTCTCCCTCTCATCCTCTTCCCTCTTTGGGGCTGCCGGTTAACAAGGCAGTCTGTGTCCAAACTCTCCTTTGGTACTTCCCCCCGTCTCCCTCTATCTTTTCTCCCCCCCCTTCTCTTCTCTCGGGAAATAAAGGCCCACACAGTCGCAGCCTTGACAGCCTCCCCTAAGAATCCCCCACTACAAAAGAGCTCCAACTTCCCCCCCAGCCAGGCCGGGGCTGAATGGGAGCCTCTGGGGTGTGGATGAGAAGCAGAGGAAAGGGGCCACCCTCCACACAGCCACATAAAGGGCCTGTGTGTCAGGCTCACGATGAGCAAGGGACATACCCAGCGGTCCATCCTGCACACAGGGAGTCA